GAGCAGCTGGAACACAACTGCAGTGCAGGTCCGAAGTCCCCCACACCCCATCCCTGAAATCCAAAAGCGGCTTCTGTGACTCATCAGGTGACAAAACTAGCCTACACTTAACCTAACCTCAAGGTCGTTAGTAGCCAAGTTACTGTAAGTATACATGTGTTTTACTGCAGAAACATCAACATGCCTCACTCAGAATGCCACACACAGCACATACAACTCATTATTTTCTAAAATCTGACAAGTGTTGCATTCCACAACTCATTGGGATAAAGGACTTAGGACCCGTACTCAGGGGAGGGGAGGCTTGGGCCAGGGGGTAGCACTGGAAATGGTAAGCAGTGGCCGTGATTTCGATACACTCTGAAGGTAGGGCTAACAGGATGTCCTCATAGATTGGATGTGCGTATGAAAGGACTGATTTATGACGACTCCAAGTTCTTTGGCTGTAGCAACGGTAGGATGCAGACGCCATATCCTGGGGTGTGAAAGACTGTGGGAACAATGTGTTTGGGATGAAATGGAGGCACAATTTGACAAGCTGTTTGAACATCTAGTTTCATCCCCCTGGAGAGGAGAAACAGGCAGGTGGTATACAAGTCTGGGAGAAGTCTGGGTTAGAGATGTATTCTTGTCATAATGCTTTCCTTCTTAGTTCCTTTTAGAATATCTAACACACACATTATAAAGAAAAGCATTATGTAACAACCTCTACCATTAAAGAACATATCTTTCAATGTAAAGAAAAATATAATTGTTGAAGTTTGGGGCTATTTGGAGACTTCCAAACAGTGGCTGTAATTAACATCACCTGAAAATTCATGAAATGAGAAGAGCCGAATTTAATTCTCAGTCTTGTGGAGAATAAGAATGTCTTAAGAAATTATTATGCCAGAAGTGAAGAAAATATTCAATGAAGAAATGGGGTTGAACTGAAATAGCGATGAAGTTTCTTTCTGTTTTCACAGTGAATAAACACCAGTTATTTTCCGGAATTATAAACTTAGAACACTTTCCTTATTCAGAATATACCCTGCGATCACAAGACAGCAAATTAACAAGTGTCCAGAGTATCCTCATTCCTGCTAACATTAACTAGCAGCTCCAGCCGAGGATGAAATGAGAGGGGGTTGATTTTTGGCAGGAGTGTCCAAGGGCAGCAATGCTATCCCTGGTATGCAGCAGCCTTGGCCAAGGATCAAGGTAATCCTTTCCCAGAGCCTATCTTGAAGATCACACTCTCTTAGAACGAGTGCTCTCCAACATCACCGGAACTCCATGTTCCCCGATTTTATGCTGCTGCATTCTACTGGTGAACTCCAATGTTATTTTCTAATTCATATGTGTGTCCATTTAAAGAAGAAAAGTGGGAAGAAGGAGAGACCTTTAAAAAAGGGAAAACATTAAAAGACTCAAAGATGTTGATCTATGTTAGAGTGTCTATATTAAATAGCCAAGTTTGTACAACCCTATACCTTAAGGAGCAGAATAAAACAAATACTATATTTACTTAAGCACCCACGAATAAAAATACCATTGTATGATCATAAAGAGATGCAGGGGGGAAAAAAAGAGTAAGAAAAAGACAGGAGAGGGAGGGAGGGGGAGAGAGGGAGAGAAAGAGAGAAGAAAGGGGGAAAGAAGAAAAGAAGAAAGTAGGAGGGATAAAAATAACAAAGAATATGCTTTTCAAAATTAAGAGATATGCACATAAAAATGTTATTAGATCTACCATCTAATCCCTCTAAGAACTGTATTTATTGCCCAAACCATACACAATTACAACTACATATAAGAATTAGAGAATCTCAATTTCTTTTCAAATGGACAATGACCTAGAAGAAAATACTTAAGAGTCACATATAAGCAAAAAATGTTCTCTTTTTTTGAAAAAAATCACCAATGTCAGTCTTCTTTTCAGCTGGTAAAAAATGACAAGGTGTTCCGTCTAGAAGGAGCCAAGCTGAGTTCCATCAGGGACGGAAACAGGAGAAACGAGAGGTGTCAAAGGAGAAGACGGGAGAGGAGCGAATGCACAGGCAGCTGAGAAGAAAGAAAGTGAAACATGACAAATGGACGACAAATACAGGGAACAAAGCGGTAAAATCACAAAGTTTGGTCTGGTAGTAAAGAAACAACCTCTTCCTCCTTCGAAACTTGCCTTTACCCCATTGGTGGTACCACCCTTTACTGGGTTACCCATTAAAAATCTGGGAGTCTTGCCCTGACCAGTCTCAGCAGTTAGAGCAATGGTTCTCAACCTGTGGGTCGTGACCCCTTTGGGAGTCGAATGACCCTTTCACAGGGGTTGCCTACGACATAATAGTAGCAAAATTATAGTTATGAAGTAGCAACGAAAATAGTTATATGGTTGGGGGTCACCACAACATGAGGAACTGTATTAAAGGGTCGTGGCATTAGGAAGGTTGAGAACCACTGGGTTAGAACATCGACCCATGGACCAATGAGTCTTGGGTTCGATTCCGGTTAAGGGCACGTACCTCAGTTGCAGTTCGTCCCCAGCCCTGGTAGGGTTGTGCATGAGGCAACCAGTCAATGTGTCTCTCTCTCTCCCTCCTTCCCTCCCTCCCTCTCTCCCCCCTCCCTCCCACTCTATGTGATGATTAATGAGGAAAATATTCTCAGGTGAGGATTAAAACATATCTGGGAGTCTTTACTCTAGCTCCCGTCCAGACCTAACTACCAGTTTACAGCAGACACGTCATCTCTGACTCAACCCTCCAGCTCACTGCACATGCGATGCTGCTCCTACCTTTGTGCCTTCGTTGTACTGTCTCTGTTCACTATGATGCTTCCCTCTCTCATCCGCTTTGCCCCATTTCTCTCAGAAAGCTCTCCCCCACCCCAAATACTCCCTGCCCGAACACTGGTTGGTACCCTGCCTCTCCACTCCCAGAATGTGCTACACAAATCTCTTTCACTGACAAAGTACCACAGTTCTCTTCTGGGCGACCGTCTTTCCCACCACCTGCCCTGTTTCATCTTTGTAAGCCCAATGCGTAATACAGGACCTGGTGTTCTAAACACACTAGAAATGTTTCCCAATTAAATGGATGGACAGTTAAAGGTAAATGGCACGTGCTACAGGAAGTTCCCCGCCTCTGGGAGTTTGAATGTAAATCTGAAGATGTTAGGAGAATCTTCGTCCTGGAGCCGTGATCTACTGTATGACTATGATATTCCTTCCATTTCTACACACATTGTTATTTGCCCAACTCTCTGACTTTTGTTCAGTTCTTTATAACATTTAACAGTAGCAATATATGGCTTACACTTCGTACAGCTAATTCTTTTTATGAGTTTTATACTTATTCGGTGCACAGCTTGTGGCTGAAATGTCATCATAAAGAGTTATTAAAAGTGTGCTACACAAAAGACACCAAATAGCCAAAGCATCCCTGAGAAAGAACAAAATGGCAGACATAATTCCTGATGTCAAGTTATACTATAAAACTACAGTAATCAGAACAGCATGATACTGACATAAAACATACACACAGACTGACAGGACAGAATTGAGAGTCCAGAAATAGACCCAAGCATATATGGTCAACTAATATTTGTTTTGATAAGGGAGCTGAGAATACTCAATGGAATAAAGTAGAAAATTGGATAATCATGTAAAATTATGAAACTAGATCCCTATCTTAAACCACTCACAAAAGTTACCTTGAAATGGATTAAACATTTGGACATAAGACCCGAAAACATAAAACTCACAGAAGAAAACATAGGTCAAAAGCTCCTTGACATGGATCTTGGTAATGATTTTTTGGAAATGACACAACACACAAGCAACAAAATAAAAAATAAACAAGTGGACTACATCAAACTAAAAAGTTTCTGCACAACAACAAAAAACCAATCAACAAAATGAAAAGACAACCTATAAAATGGGAAAAATATTTGCATACTATATATCTTATAAGGGGTTAATATCTAAAACATACAGGGAACTCATACAACTCACTAGCAAAAAAAACCCCCAAATCATCCAAGTAAAAACTGGGCAAAGGACCTGAAAAGACATATATCCAAAGAAGATATATTAATGCCCAATAGGTTCATGAAAAGATGATTAACATCATTAATTAGTAATGCAAATCAAAACCACAGTGAGATATCATTTCACAATTAGCATCAAAAAGATAAGAGATACAGATGTTGGGGGGGCCCTCATGCACTGTTGGTAGGACTGTAAATGGGTACTGCCACTATAGAAAACAGTATGGAGGGTCCTCTAAAAAAAATCAAAAATAGAACTACCATAGGTTCCAAGAATCCTATTTCTGGAAATACATCCGAAGGAAATGAACACACTGTCGAATAAATATCTGCACCCCATGTTCATAGCAGCATTATTTGCAATAGCTAAGACATGGAAATAACCTAAGTGTCTGTCCACTGATGAAAAAAGAAAATGTGCTATATATACATATAATTAAATATTATTCAGCCATACAAAGGAGGAAATTCTGCCATTTGCAACATCGATGAATTGCGAGGACGTTAAGTAAAATAAGTCAGACTAAGAAAGACAAATACTGCATGATCTCATTTATATGTGGAATCTTAAAACAATATAGAAAAAGAGATCATATTTGTGGTTAACAAAGGTGGGAGCTATGGGGAGGAGAAATTGGGAGAGGGCAGTCAGAAGGTACAAGCTTCCAGTTATCATAAGTACTAGGGAGGCGATGTACAACATGACGACTATAGCTAACACGATGCATGGTACATAGGAAAGTTTTTAAGAGTAAATCCTAAGTGTTCTCATGACAGGAAAACTTTTTTTCCATTTGCTTTTGTATGTATTTGAGATGATGGATGTTAACTAGTTATTGTGGTAATCATTTCGCAATATATGTAAGTCAAACCAGTATGCTGTACACCTTAAACATATACAGTGCTGTATGATATTTTGATAAAACTGAAAAAAAAAAAAGACACTCAAAAAATATGCAAACATTTATATGACTTACTGAACACATCTCCTCTGGGTTTCTGAGGATCTGTCTGTATCCTGTTGTCAACTGTAATCTCTCTTGGAGATGTAGCAGCTGGTGCTGCAGTCGTCAGTCTGAGGATCGGTCTTTCTGGCGTTGGTGGTGGTGCAGGTGTTCTGAGTTCTGTGGGTGGGGGTGGGGGTGGAGGTGGGGTAGGCCTTGTTGGGTTTGGTGTAGGTCTTATTGTTGGCTTAGAAGTGGGCCTGTTGGTAACAACAGGAGGAATATACGGTGTCTTTACAGGCCATCTAGTACTCCCGACATCAGGAATCCAATTACTGTGTCCTCCATCACCCTTTGAAATGGTACCATCCCCCTTTGGTACATGAATTGGACCTGATGGTTCAATCATGACTTTTGGAATATCTAAAAAAGTCAAAAGATTTAAAATTAGTCTATAACCATCTCTTCCCAAAAAGTAAAACATCAAATTGTAAAAAACAAGCATTATCAAAATAAGTGCCAATTAGGCTTACTTTACACATTTAGGAGATTCCCCTGCTGTAAGTCATACTGTTTTCTAAATAATAAATATGTGCATATGTGATATATGATACACAGTCATCCAGTGGGTGAATGCAAAAATTATATTGGTGTTTCTATAATAAATCTGTACTATTTGAAACACAAAAATATATTTGTAAAGTAGAAACAGATGGCAGTCAATGTGATTTTAAAAACGCAGAGATATTCATAGTCTTTTAAATATCAGAAATGTATATATAGAGTCTATGTTAAGTGTCCCTATGGTACATGTATGTTATAAAATCATGGTTATAACTGTCTAAAGACTAATTTCTCTTCCACACTTGATATAAATTTGATTCATGCAAAAATATTTTTATTAAATGTTCTACATATTGTTGTAGCTGGTTTTTCTTCCCCACCCTATTCATTTATATAATTGCTTTTTTAATAGAAATTTTCAGAGGCCACCAAGATCATCTGTGGAATATTTTTCTTTGATTATCTTTACCAAAAGGAATTGCTATTTAATCTGCCTGGTACCATATACCCCTTGGGAGGCATGACCACAGAACCCTTCAAAAACCCTTTAATCCTCTTGATGTTATACCCCATGATTTTTAGTAAATAATTTACTCCAGAACTTTAAAAATGCATTGTTACATGAAATATATGCTGAATTATGGCCTTTGGTTTGTGGAACTTTCATCTTGGACGGTATATTTTTTCCATGTTTATCTACTAATGTATTCATACTACAAACAGCTTATAAAAATTTTGAAAGCAAAACAGTACTAAATGTAGAATAACCAGATGAATACAGGAAGTTTTCAGAATTAGGAGACATAATAAAAAAGAGGAACCAAAAATGGAGAATATATTCAGTTATAGCCCACCATCACAATCTAATGCTAATGACAAACATTTACTTCTAATGTTAAGAAAATCAAATTCTCTGGGAGGGCTCTAAAATGTCTTGTCAGCTAAAGGGAAGCTACAGATAAATTTTAGTCAAGTAATTGAATGCTTTTAAGAGCAGAAAGTATTACTGCGTCTTTAATTTTTCAAAATACCTGCACGAGTGATTTTATTGTTTGTAGGAAGCAGAGGCTAATAAGACCAGCTATGAAAATTGTACTTCTCTGATACATTAATCTTGTTCCTTAAGTTCCCTGCTCATGGCCTGTGTGCCGTCTGTGCTTCCTGTGGCATTCAGAGCTGGGAGACAAGCATTACTCACACACGCAGCTCAGTCCATCGCCGTGGTAGCCGTCCTGACATTTACACCTGTAGGACCCATGCACGTTGAAACAGCGAGCAAAGCTGCTGCACTGATGCTGACCAAGGGAGCACTCATCTACATCTGCAGCAGGAAGGAGGAGGAGAAGAGGTTTATTTGGGAGAGGAATATAGTGACATGAAAACATATATACAGTTTCAAGAAAATTATTTTGCAATGTGAAGGTCGGTATAAAATGGGCAGATACACAAAAGAAATAAAGTACCTGTGCATCCAAACTACCAGTGGTTGAATCGGACTTCTGTCTGCTTAATGCCAGGACCCTCCCCCACCCCTGGTATCTGTCTTTGTCACAATTAAGAGACCTTTCCACGCCAGAGGAAGAAACAGCGAGAACATAGACGGGGGTTCATTACCGTGACATTGGTATTTGCCTCCAATGTACATGAGGTCGAAGCCTGTATGACACTTGCAGATGTAACTCCCAAATGTGTTGACACACTGTCTAAATCTAGGGCAGGAGGCTCTTCCGGTAGCACATTCATCAATATCTAGAAACACAAGTCACTTGTACGTTAGGAGGAGCAATAGCATGTTCGGATGAAGTGGATTTTAAAAATAAATTACTGTCTGCAAACGGTTGCCTGGCACATAGGGACACACCATCAACATTACCCAGCTGCACCATGAATTCCACATCTCCATCTCCCCACGCGTCTTCCTGGCCCGGGCTGCCCTCCTTTTGCACCATATCTCAGCACATACTGCAGCTGTCCACCTAGCTGCTTGGACTAAAACATGGGTCATCCTTGCCAGCCCTATTTCCCTTAACCCTAAGTCATCAGGCCCAGTTCACTGTACCTCGGAAAGATGATTTGAATGTGTCTCCTCTTCACCCACTGTCCACGCCACCGTCTCCCAGGCCTCCTCACCTGGCTTTCCCAGCCACTTACCCCCTCCAAAGCATTCCCACTCACCCGTCGAAATGACTTCATTACAACATAAAACTGGATTCCTACCATGCCTCGAGCTCTCCTGCTGTTTTACTTGCTTTAACTTGAATTAAATCCTCATCCCTTACCACGTCCTTGAAGGCTCTGTAATAAAAAGCCCCACCCACCCGTTGGGTCGTATCCCAAGCCACCGCCCCTCATGCTCCCGCTCTGCACTGAAGCCACATGGCCTCCTTTCCTCCGAGACCTCCAGCAGGTCTTGGCCACTGTGGTGCCTGCCCTGCTTCCAGCTGCTTGGCTGATCCTTCACACGGCCAAAGGTCCAGGTCATACTTTAAGGCTTTCCTGGACCATTATTTTCTGAAATAGACCCTCTCTGTTTCCCTCTCTCTTAGGTCCTCATATTAACAGTTCGTATTGTTTATAATGTTATTGGGTATTTGCTTCTTTTCTGGATGCCCCATTAGAATATCAGCTTTGTGAGATCAAAATCCTGTCACCTTTGTCCATTACTGTATATCCTGGAATATAGAACGTAATCAATAACTGTCTCCTGAATCACCGAATACCTCCCCTCATTGAGTACTTACTATATGCTAGGCACCATGCTCAGCTCGTTCCACACGTGAGCTCATTTAATCCTCAGACTGTTTCTCTCTGTGCCAGTACTTCCATTCTAAAGATGAGAAGGCTCAAGTTCAAAGAAAGGCAGTCTCTTGCCTTAGATACATATCAAGTATATGGCAGAGCCAGGTTTGAAACCAAAGCCCTGACTCTTCACCCCAATCCTATACTACCTTCCTTATTTACAGGGGGGAACCTAACTCTTTAGCGCAACACATACAACTGAGCCCTCTGCCCATTCGTTTCGTCAGTCGTGGCCGCTTCCACCCCAGACATGCTGAGCTCCTACTCCCCCGCACACTGCGCTCCTTGCGACTTCAATGCTGTTGCACACCTGGTTCCCTCTGCCTGAAGCCTCCTCCTGTCCCTCGTTTTTAGGAGAAAAACAAAAAACAAAACAGGTTTCCATGGTCCATTCACAGAGAGAGGTCCTCTTCTGAGACATCTGCTATCTTCCAAAAGACAGCTAATTACCTGATGTAAGAAACTGTCTTTTTCTTTCTCATATCACCTTTCACCGTCTTCCTTGTCCCAGAGAGACTACCGACAGAGCAGCTTGGTTTTACAACTCACCCACACAGGTCCTCCCATCGGGAGCCAGCTGGAGGCCGGGGGAGGGGCACTGGCACCGTATCTGCCCTTTCACAACATCACAGCCGTACTGACAGTTGGCCACGGAGCACGTCAGGGCACCTGGAGGGAGTGTGACCGGCTGACTCAGAGAACAAACTCTGTAACTGAAATAACTCTGCCTTTAATGCTGAAATCATTGACACTGGATCGACAATGAAGACAAAAAGGGCTTCAGTTATTCAACAGGCTAAAGAAAGCCAAAAACAGGGAGGGGGCAGAACGCCCTTCCTCCTCCAGGGATGACGACGATGAAGTGACCCTGATCTTCTATCATCTCGGGAAGAAAGACCTCTAATGCATTTGAGGCACTCAAAGACAAACGTAAAACTTGATCTCACACAGATTATCTGGAAATTTTTCCAGTGGCCAAGGGCAGTGGAAAATTGGGGGATTTTTCCAGATTATTCACACTAAGTGCTTGTCTTAAGTGAAACATCCACATAATTGTCTCAAATTCCCACTAAATGTCTCTAGGGACAGCAGATTTCCCCCTGAGTTACCCAGTGTCAGAGGATTCCGGCACCGCTGCCCCATGTTATTTAACACAAACCCACCCCGTTCCAGAATGTTCCATGCTAAATAGGCAATGCTAAATAAAATTAGCTAACCTTTTTTATTTTATACAATGCAACTGAGAGAGATAACTGGTAGTTAACTGGTTGCTAGTTAGCTAATTTAACTGATCATTCAGTAAAAATAAAAATCAAGTCATGAATTGGTGGGTATCTTACAAACACCACCTCAATGCAATGTTCAGCCTGCAGAGAATTTTAGGGTGCCATCCATCTTATAGCACACCCAAACGAGAGTAGGAAACACCATACGTTTCAACAAAGACACACGTGAAATCTACTTTTATATGACTATAATCACTCGCTTTTTCATTTGAAGTAGATTTGCATAAAAGGCATGTAACTTAGACTATGATACTAAAACGTAAACATGACGTGAGATGGTATTGACGAGCGGTTTGTAATCAATAACAAGCTTGGTGGGTTCTCCACCAACAAGCAGTTTAGAGTCCACCTTTATGGACAGCACTGCAGCCCTGAAATAAACTGATGCTCGCTTTCTAGCCGGAACAGCTCTCTGCCCAGATTGACAAAAGGGAAAACATGTTGGAAAGAAGGTAAGAAAACACACTTAGTTTTCTTCTTCTTCTTCTGAAACCACATCCAAATCAATTTAACACTGGCACCCCGGGTAAAAGGATTCTAGCCATCTCAAAGGGGCCCCTCTTATTTTGATTTCCAGTTCCTTCAGGACACACATAAACACACACTCACGTCCTGTCTGGGGAGGGCCTGAGAGGCCGCTGTCCTTCTCCCACTACCAGAACACAACGTGAAAGAAGTCAAGCCCAACGCACTCATGAAACAGTTCAGATTCTTGACATACTTGAGCAGGACCCATCGGGCATCAGCATGAATCCGTTGAGACAGTAGCACTTGTAGCTGCCGAAAGTGTTCATGCACCTGTGTTTGCAGGGCCGCGGCTTCAGGCCACACTCGTTCAGATCTGAGAAGAGTCCAAGATGAGGCAGAAAAATCACAAAACCTCCGCACAAATGTAACCCACTGAAAATACTTCTCTATGTTGAATGATGAAGGAGAAAAGTAGTCAAGCTATAGTCACCATTCATTTACAAATGACTGAGCCTGTTCACAGTCTTAATTTTAATGCTGGTTACAGGAGGGGCAACCGAGAGTTTTCTATCAGAGGTGACAGAAAGCCTTATAACAATGATGAGGCCGTGTAAATTCCTGGAGCTTAATTATGTAGCACATGTGACCTCTGTCCACAAAGGACAGTTAGCATGCCCTGTGCCTACCTCATCATCCACAGACAGAGCAGCATACCGACTCCTCATGGTGCTCTCTATCCGACTTCACCATCCTCCAAATACCTGGGCTCTACTACCAGAGTCACTCCTGACAACATGTTCTTCCTGTCTCTGTTTAAAGAAGATACTAGCAAGTACATGGATTTTAGCATAAGCCTGCTTTGACCTTCCCCAAAGGAAGCTATCTTTTCAGAGGATAAGAGCTTCATGATCAGAGTGATCACAATTATGGCTTTTCTTGTTCAGCCTTATAGATTATATACTAATCTCAGATTCAAGAAAAAACTTCCATATCCTACTTTAGTAATGCATTCAAGTCACAAAATAAATGAAAATAGAAAACCAACAGCAGCCCTTTAACATGTTTTCATTCATCTGGTAGTTAAGAAGGGCATGTGGAAAATACTAATGAATAATACATAATTGACTATCATTGCGTATTTTAGGATTGATTTAAATATCAATATGAAATGAATAATTTGCACATTATGAGAATTTTCCAACCCAACTTGAACACTGCCTCAAGTGAACATAAACTCATAAGGACATATAAACACTGAAATAGTAATGCCCAAAATAGAGTTTATTAAAAAGAAATATGATCACGTTTATTTGGAACTGTCAGCATAATCTGATTATCTATTAGTCCATGTCATCAAAGCAGAACTATGGATAAATCTAGCTGTAAGTTGTCTTCAAATATAAATCTGACCTGCTGTTTATTAGAAATCTATATATTTCACTTAAGTAAACCTCCAAGTTACAGTTTTTTAAAACCTCCAAATTATTACACCTAAAATTTGTAACATTTCACTGACTTTCCAACTTGGTCTTTTTCCTAACCTCAATGTACGTGTAAGCAGATCCCCAGCTGCGTGCAGCCTGGGGAGACGACATAATAAACACCTGCATTCCTAAGGCTTTATTTTATACTTTGTTTCTTGCCTAGTCAAGGGTGTACAAAACAGAATCACATTTTAAGGTATTAAAAAAAATGTCTCCAAGAAGGTAGTTTGCAGATTATAATATCATCAAAAATTTGATTTCTCCTGTTAAAGTAAAAATTTTAAATCGAAAAGGAAAAATTCACCCCACTTCTCATATTCTTCTTTGTATTTCAATATTTATTAAAAAATTAAAATCAGAGAATCTTTCCTCATGTTCTAGGAGTTGTTGATTATTATTCCCAATACATCCCTGCAAATTCACACCTGGCTTTGATAAATCCTTGGTTGATATTATAGTACGTAGCATTTAAATCTGAGTGCAGTTAGAGAAAGGCTTTGTGTTTTAAATATTTTTCTGCACTGACCACAAACAAAATAGTACTGTACAACAAAACAATAGAGTTTAGACTGAATTCTGTATCTCAAGGGGAGAATATTAATTAATAAAAAATGTGTCTATTAAGAACCCTTCGGTTTATTTTTAAAGAGCCACTGAAACGTGGGTTTCCTGGTGGGAATGATCAGATGTTTCTAGCTCTAGGCAGATTATACACAAGGAGCATTTATGCTGACGGAAATTTCTTCAGACACTAAGTCTCTGGACTAAAGCAGAGAGCCAGCTGAGGCAACTCCTGTCTCGGCCAATAAAGTGCTCCCTAGGTCGGCTCTGCAAGTCTCCATGATTCCGACCGGGCTGCTGGGGTCTTCAATCCCGACTGAGCCTTCCCTTCCCATGAGAAAAAGTACTTTGGGGTTAAGAAGCATGAAATTGAAAAAAAAAAAAAAATCATTAAGATGTCCCAATTCCAAAAGAATCTGGGAATCACTCTACAAAACAATATGAGGGGAAAAAACAACAAAAAACACGTGCAATGTTCAGTGAGTAACCATAGAGATATTTGTTGACTATTTTATTGTTATTAAATTGACAGATAAACCTCCAAATATGTTAGAGGCAGTCTGAGGAAGCTGCCCTCTGTCAGCCCCTGCTGGAGTGGCAGGTGCTTCTTGACAGTTCTCTGGTGGTGATGTTCATCACGGTTGACATTACTGTCCCATCTGCCCAGGCACTCGTCTCCTACAAACTTCACGTTAACCCTTGTAAGACCTACTGCAGAAATTATGAAGTAGGATTCCACAGTAACCCATAATTATCAATATTTACCAAATATCAGACTTCTGATCAAGCACAGAGCTTCAAAAGATGAAAAGCATCTGAGCCCTGGCCGGTTTGGCTCTGCGGTTTTTAGCACTGGCCCGTGGACTGAAGGGTCACGGGTTTGATTCTGGTCAAGGGCACGAACATGTGGGTTGCGGGTTCAATCCCTGGCTCCAGTGGGGGTCATGAGGGAGGCAGCCAAGTGATGTGTCTCTCTCACATGGATGTCTCTCTCTCTCTCCCTCCCTGCCCTTCACTCTATCTAAAAATCAATGGAAAAATATCCTCAGGTGAGGATTAACAACAACAAAACAAAAGCATCTGATATCCTGGTGATGAACCCCCCCCCCCCATTTTTCTTCAGGTTTCTCTCCTATGATTATTATACCTTATTGTTTTTATTAACCTAATGCCTTGTAAAATTGAGTCAATACAGGCTACTTCCAAAATCTTTTGGACTACAGAACTAGTAACACTTGTGTTACTATCATATTAAGTCAGAAATTTAAAAATGACACTTCCAATTTATAGCAAGTGCTTCTATAATAATAAGTGGAACAATATAAAAAACATGAAAAGTCTCCTTGATTACACTTTATAAATCAATCTTAAAAGTTGATAAAAGGACCTAGGGAAAAAATCGTTAGTGTGTTTATTTTAAATTTATTTTAATCTTGCTCTTTCTCTAGGAGTTTATAATGTAATATAAATTAAAAGGACAATCTTTAATAAAAATTTAATGAATTATATCATGTACCTATCTTATTGCACAAAGGACAGAACTTTACAATTAAACCACTTACATTCGAATACTTTAATTATTAAGTATGCAATTCTTAAAGAGCATCTATAAGTCAGGAGTATACTTGAGCAGGTTGGTGGATTTGGGAGCTTGGGGATGAAGGGGCAGGAGAAAGGAGCTGGTCCAGAACAAAAATGCAAGCTGCATAGCATTATAATTACATTTCAGGAAAATAAAGAATTAGACATTTTATTAGCATGCAGACGCTGAAAAGTAGATTGGAAATTTCTAAGAGATTCATTGAATAAGACAACCCAATGGACTTTTTGTAAGGGAAAATAATCTTTCATTTGTTTAATGCACTTGGACTTTTTTTTTTTTTCTCTCCCTTTGAGGCATAAACTGGGCAATGACTCAAAAATTTAAGCTTTTACATTTTATCTGACTCCAGTGGAGGTCACAGGAAAACAGATGTCAATTGCCATAACTTTTAAACTTTAAAGACAGCAATGATACAATGACTAAATTACTCCCATGGCCCTGTTTCTTTGTGTAGAAGTTATACAAATCCATCAGGCTCCCTGTCAGCAGAGAGGAATTTCTGACTTGTAGGATTTTAGTTCAGGCATTCTATGTTCCTAAGTCTGTCAGTGGATGAGGGGTAACGATTCTAGAAGAACTGTAAAGTCACGCGGTCGCCTCACCTTCCTATGAAACTTTGCAGCACAATGCAGACACGAGTGTGGGTGTTTCTGTTCTCACCCAGCCCTGCAGGCAAACAGGGCAGGAGTTACTCTCCCTCTGTGACTAATTGTTTTGCTAACACCTAGACACATTAAATGACTTGCTCACAATTGTACAGCTGCTGCTGGAACCAGAACTTAGACTTTCTAACACGATAAAACGCACACTAAAGGAAGCTCTGGTGTAGCTTCATTTCTGGTACCCTAAAACCCTACACCCTAAATACTGCTGGTGACAAGGACGTGGTCACTTCTAAAATCTACATAGCGAAAGCTATCAAAACCCCAATCTCAGTTGCTTTGATAGTCCTGACTTCATCGACGAATGAAAGGAAACGTTATTTTGTTATCTGATTTTTAAAAAACATTTGGAAACCCAGAGAAGAAGAAGAGAAGCAATGACATCTGGCACAGTGAGCGGACAGCGGAGGCTCCAGGTTTCAGGGCACAGGGCATCAGCACTAGGAGACAGTCCTGCTGCCTGCTTCACATGCTCAGGGTGCAGAGCCTGGCGCCTCTGGGCCAGTCTTCAGAACGTGTGCAAGAAGTGACAAAACTGCAGGAAGCCGTGCGGGGGGAGGAGCAGACCTCCTGAGATGATGCACGCTCACCCCTTGAAGGTACACTTGTGGCCTCGTGATCCGGGGGTTGGAAAAGAGGTTGTTCACTGCCTTGGTCAGGAGGAGTTGGATAGAAGTGTTCGTCTTCAGACCAGGAAGAAGGTAATAAGAGTCAACTTTGAACTGATGTCATTTTTAGCCCTAAAAATCTTTATAAGTATATATTAAACAATTACATAAAGTTGGTGGACTTAAAAAAAAATGCTTTACTTTACCAAAAAAAAAAATAGTTTCTAGTTTTCCCAGTTTCTCTCTTTTTAAAATTTCTATTTTCCTGAAAATGTATCATGCCATCTTTCTTCCCCAGAGCACACACAATACAAGTTAATCCATCATTCCACACAAATGTAAAGGAAAACAAAACCAGCAATAAAGAAATGGTAATTTTTAAAAGCATGATTTTAGTCATCAACAAACAGAGAAAACTAAGAAAAAACCCAGATTACACAAATATTGGTTATGACCAATCTGCTCTGTTTCAGGACACTTTTTCCTTATTATGTTTTGCAACACTTTAAAATACTTCAAAATTGCACACAAAATTATTATTTGCATAAAGACCTTATTTAAAGAAATAGCATGATCAATATTTTCACTCAAATGTAAGAACTTATGTTACATTTAGGTCACATTTAATTAGACTGCACATAAGAAGCTTTCTGCAAAAAAAATAAATAAATAAATGGTAACTGTTTCCATGATTAGCTTACCAAAATACTGTAAGACGAGTGAGACTCAAAAGTAGTGAGTCAAAAAGGTAATCATATCCTGCTTCAAGACTATTATATCAGTAATAGTTAGTTAAAATTCCAAATTAAATGAACATTGGTTTCTGGGGTTAAAATCACACAGACTTCAAAAAGTAAGACTGCCCTGGCCGGTTTGGCTCACTGGTTAGAGCGCCGGCCCATGGACTGAAGAGTCTCAGGTTCAATTCCGGTCAAGGGCACATACCTCAGTTGGGGTTGGGTTTGGTCCCCAGTCCTGGTTGGGGATGCAAGGGAGGCAACCAGTTGATGGGTCTCTCTCACATCATTGTCTGTCTTTCTCTCTCTCCTCTCCCCTCACCCCCCTCACAATCTGAAGATAAATGGAAGAATAATATCCTCAGGTGAGAATTAAAAAAAAAAGTAAGGCAATAAGAAACTACCCTAACATTAGGGTTAATGCACATAGGCTGTTGTGCTGAGAAAAGCGATCAAGTCTCAGATGTAACTAGTCCAGCAGTGTTCACTGTCTGATTATGTGCTACAAGATATTCATTCTTTTCTTGGGATAAGGAATTCAACATAGGAAACATAAACCATGTGAAAACATTAGTAATTGATATTTATAAACTGTTTCTTCTGAACTCGTTATAAAGTACACTATAAATTCAAAAGAATATCTTTCATTCCTGAAAAAATGCAATGATATGATATATTACGTGCTATGAATAATTCCCTAGTGGGAAATTGTAAAAAGATGATCTATAATAGTATCTTTTCTTGGTGGCGGTGAAAGGGGATTGGTATGGGTACAGAGACTCAAGGAGAGGAAAACATGCAAGAATAAAATTACCAGACAAAGGCCCAGCCTGTGTGGCTCAGTGGATTGAGCATCATCCCATGGACTAAGAAGTCCTGGTTCGAATTCCAGTCAGGGCACATGCCCGGGTTTTGGGCTCGATCCCCAATAGGAGGCGTGCAGGAGGCAGCCAATCGATGTTTCTCTCTCACATCGATGTTTGTCTCTCTCCCCCTTCCTCTCTCTCTAAAAAAATCGATAGCAGCATATTTTTAAAAAATTACCAGAGAAAGTATGGTGGGAAAACAAAAACAAAAACAAATCTTGCCAGAGTTTGGGTTAGAATTTCACCTAGTGAAAGGTACCATGTACCTTACAGAATATGCTAATGATCAGTCCAAGCTTATGGTTTTATATGAGATCCAGCTCTAGTAAATCCAGAAAGTGACTCAAGGGAGAGCAAGCCACCAGGAGCAGATTACACCAATCTTGTGACAGGTTGTTAAATGAAGCCAGTTCCAAAGTGGGCCTGCCCTGCTCTCTGGCTGCTCCCAGGACACTCTGAGGGTGCTCAAGTGCCTGTAACTTACTCAAGCTGTTCACTCAGCCAAGCAAGTGTCCTGGGGGTGACCGCTTCAAGTACACAATTCGCAACCAAGTTTTCTGAGCAGACACTTGCCTTATACCCCAACCGACTTTTAATCAAAAGCTAGTATCCAGCTCCATGAAATTACTTCAAAGTACCTCTTGACATTTCCCTCCTCGAGAAAACAGAAACCGGTTTGATTTCCCATATCTCTGAGGCGTGTTTGCCACTTCATTAAAATGTATGGTCCAGATCAAAAGCTGGTGCTAACTTGTTATGGAGATACAGAGCAGACGAGGTGCTGCGACAGTTTCTGGGGGTCTCACAACAGCTCTCGGGCGTCCCCAGCTCGCGTGGCAGCCTCTCACCCTGCCGGCTCGCAGTCCGCACACTCAGAGACTAAGGCACCAGACAGCTCCATGGAACTCTTTCAACTCCTGTGGCTTCCAGGACCAAGAACCACTGTACGAAACAGTCCCTCGCTTAATAAATATTTAATGTGCACTAATCATGCGTAAGTCATTTTACTAATCCTTTTCAGGAACCCAGGAAACAGACACCACAAAGGTTCCTGCTCTCAGAGAATATAAATCTTTCCATCAGGAACTTGCCAAATTGCTTTTTTGGGAAAGAAGACAAAAAGAAAGATGACTGAAACACATAGGTGCACTGTAAGCTGGAGTTTTACAGTCAAGATTGGATTTGAAATCACATTTTCAATGTCAGCACTCTTTTTGCAAATGTAAAATCCCAGTTTGCTACTAGTGAAATCCTTTCCCCTCTAAGGAATATAGTTTTGGGAGGAAAGATTTCAATTCAGTATATTTCACTTTTTCTTTAGTGAAACAGGTATGTATTACTGGAAAAACTGGTTTTTCTGATAATAAGTACATCGTTAACTGGTTTTTGGAAAATAAAGAGATACCCAGCCATGAATCCTTTTTCTAGTACTAGCTTGAGTGTCTTCTGAAGCACAGTAAAGTTGATGAAGCTCTGCAAATAAATTTAAATGAATTTCTCTGCATTCGCAACAGTAGCTATTTTGAATAATCTTCTTTGTATAAATTCCTGGCACCAGGACAACGAGTTTCATGGTGCTGACATATTAATGAAACCTCTGATGGTTTATGTTCATCTTTAAAAAGAAGCATGCCGGGACTCTCAGATGAACACTAATAACTCAATAGTCATAACCGCACATGCTGCTACTTGAGAAAGACAAGAGAAGAAAAATCAAATGGATTTTTAAAAAAGAATAAATTGAGATAAGAAGAAGCCCATTTGTTTTTTAAAAAATACTGCCCTGGCCGGTTTGGCTCAGCAGTTAGACAGTGGTTCTCAACCTTTCTAAGGCCATACCCTTTAATACAGTTCCTCATGTTGTGGTGACCCCCAACCATAAAATTATTTTTGTTGCTACTTCATAACTAATTTTGCTACTGTTATGTCTTAGACGACCCCTGTGAATGGGTCGTTTGACCCCCAAAGGGGTCGGGACCCACAGATTGAGAACTGCTGGGTTAGAGTGTCGGGCCATGGACCAAAAGAGTCCCGGTTCAATTCTGGTCAAGGGCACGGGACCTGGGTTGCGGTTGTTCCCCGGCCCTCCTGGTCAGGGTCATGCAGGAGGCAACCAGTCAATGTATCTCTTTCACATCAACGTTTGTTTGTTTCTTTCTCTCTCTCTCCTTCCCCCTTCCACTCTATCTGAAAATAAATGGAAAAATATCCTTGGGTGAGGACCTAAAAATAAAAATAAAAACTACTACCCACATATGTTAGATAAATTCCAAGTTAAAAAAAATATATTATTAGAAAAGGAGCATTGGAAAAAATTGGTTATCAATCAAGTAGCAGATAATTTAGAAGAACCTTTAGAATAACAGCTTGTCCTACCACTAGACATGTCATATTTTACTAGCATGGACTTCATCTGACAGCGCAGGAACAATTACATATACCTTCAAACGTCAGTGTTCTGGCTTGCTGTCAAAACAATGTCTACAATCATGAGTCTACATGACACACCTCAAGGAGTATCAGATACTGAAGAACAAGAGTATTTCAACAATATCATTCTGTAACAGGTAAGGTCAAGTTCATATCTATGAGGCAGTCAGACCCCCACACAATTGCTACATTTGGCATTTAAAATGATAGAGAATATTACTTTAAATCGTAAGTTAAAAACTGACTCTTTTATCCTTGTATCTTTCTAGTGATATTGAACCATATCTTTTCTTTACATCTGGTTTCTTTTACTCCTAATGGTAGAAAGTTTTTGGTTAAAAAGACTAGCTTTGTCAAACTTGTTATCACTAGCCAGAGGATCACATTTCCAATAATATTGTCTTCATCCAAAACTAAATTGGTAGAAAGAACAAAAATTCTGTAGACAATAGCTCTAAGTTGACATAGCAGGTCTTTTACCAACTAATTCTATGAACTTGGAAAGAGATATCCCTGATACCTCTTCAAATTAAAAAAATGAATATTTTATTTTTAATAAATAATTATAATAAATTATGATTATTATAAACACTCTGCCTCCTGATATTGTTGTAATGATGAAAATAGGTAATATATGTAAAATACTTGCACTGCTAGTGCTAAATAAATGTTTGCTTTTATAAGCAACCGATGCCAATTAAAAGCACCTTGCTAAGTTCATCAAAATCTTTATTTCTCAGAAGAACATTGCAAACTGGTCAACAGTTAAAGGGAATTGAATCACAAAATCGAAGGGCTCAGAGTTTGAAGAGACCTCGAAATCTCAAATCTCAAATGCAACTCCCTGGCTGACTGTGAGTATTGAAGTGTTTTCCCCTGACTGGGTCCAAGGGCCCAGCAGTCTGCTAAGGCCTCCCCACGAGCTGGGGCCGAACCCGGAGCCGCCGCATGGAAGGCTTCCAACACGACTGACGGTGGGTGGCAGTTCTCTTTCTCAAAATGCATTTTAAGTATTGGCGGTGAATAAGAGGATGGCATTCTTTTAACTGTCCTTCGAGGAAATGCATTTTAAAAGATCTGCCATTATTATATTTGTCCTTCAGCAGAAGGCCAATGTGCAGAACAACAGTCTTGGAAAAGCAGTTGGGCGAGAACGTAACATTTTAATGTCAGGCAGGACCGGAGGGGCTCAGGCCGGCTCATTCATGCCGCGTGTCCCTACCTTGATTGCAGGTTTTGCCGGCATATCCCGGATGACACTTGCACTTGTTCGGTCCGATACAGTCACCGTGTTTGCACTGCGGTTGGCACACAGCTGTGAAGAGAGAATATCGTGCATTATTTCTAGGTCAAGAGAACATCAACCATATAGTATCTAAATCATGTACTAGCTTCATAATAAAAAAAACTAAAAACTTATAAAAAGAGTTGCAGAAATATACCAAATCACTGTGTCCTGGAGTGGTAAGCACTGTCTAGACTACACATAAACGCACACATGTCTTACATGCATGTGTGTGCATGTGCATATGTGTCACTATGGGCTGAAAAATTTGCTAAACTTGAGGACAATACTTGAATAGTCAGAAAAATACGTAAAACTAGGCATAAACACAACTAATGCTTGTCAATAGTTATAACCTTACAATAACTTGTACTCATAATTTCAGACTCATTCTCTGAAATACACTTCAAACACTTATTCTTAATCCAGAGATACTATTTAATTCCAGATAAATTGTGTGACGCCAGATAAATTTCCAATAATAAAATGCTATTTTATAGAAAACAGCATCTAAAAGTCAGTATTTTTGGAATTTCAATGTAAGATCATCTCTGTCATCTTGCTCTTTCTTGACTGTAGGTGCCTTGCAACTGCTCATCAATCTGTAATGGCTTTACTACGGCCCATCAGAGCAAGTAAAAGATCTATTCTATATTTATTTTCTTCTATCCACTAAGTTTATTCTCCTCCAAGAACCCTAAATGCTATAAAATCATCACTCAAATATTTTCACAGTCTTTGATTCCTGCTTAGAATTCTTCTGTTGACTCTATACCAGTGATTCTCAGCTGCAGAGATTTTGCCCCTTATGGAACATTTGCCATAAATGGAGACATTTTGGTTGTCACACTGGGAAGAGGGTGCTACTGGCATCTAGTAGGTACTGCTAAACATCCTACAGTGCTCAAATAGCATCCCCCCCCCCCGCCAAAAACAAAAACAAAAACAAACAAACAAAAAAACCCCCAAATTATCCAGATGAAACTGTGATGGTGCCAGACTGAGAAACCTTGCCTACACCAGATACGTGCATGGTGCTACGCCAGATACTAGAAGAGATGAAAAGCACTGTATAGTGTGGTCACTGGTGTCAAAGACCTGCAGTCTAGATGAAGAGACAAAACAAGCATGTTTTTAATTCAAAGCAACATTTGCTTATGAGCAAAATAGGTGACACACGAAATGTGTGAAGAAATCATCACGGAAGCCTATCCATATAGATGCGGACAGAAAGTCTTGTAGAACAGACTTGAGTTGGATCTTGAAGCTTGGGTAACAGAAAAGGGAGAAGACTATGTAAGGTAAGGAGAACTATGCAGTAAAATAGACCATTTATTTAGGGGACACTGAGGAAGTTTGTCAAGCTAAAAAAGGGGGGGCGTAAATGCTGGTAGAAGACTGAGAAGCAGACAATCATAGGTGAGTGGTATACGGATGATGATGTTCCCTCAATTTCAGACCGAGGAGTATACACTTCACCTATAGGAAATGGACAGTTTAACACCGTCAGTAGAATTATCTGATAAAAATCAACACTCTGGGAATATTTGCTTGGTAATAATATGTAGAAAAGTCTGGAAAGAGTTTAGTTGACCTAAGGAAGTAATGATCTGTTTTTGAGGCAGGAAGAGACGGCACGTCCTGAAGACCAGAGGGAATGGGGTCAATAGTAACTCTGAGTTCTCAAGTCCCTGACACCTGTTCCTTCCCCTAGAGGCCCAGGCTGTCCTCTATTCTGGGACATGCTCCCACTTTCTGACAATTCTCCAACATCGTTTCCCTCAAAGCTCTGATACTCCTGTGAAACTGACATGCAGGTTATTTCTGGCGTTTTCTACACTTCCTCACTCACTCTCACTCACCCTCCCCTCATCTGGACTCCACAGGCTCATTTGCCAATTTCACCTTCAGGCCTTTCCTGCCTGTCTATTGTCACTCCAACTGGCCCCCGACCCACTGCTGACCCTTAGACAGTGCTGCCCAGTAGGCATATAATTTAAAAGCTTGCAGAAATAAAAGACGAGAAAAGTGTAAAGGGCAAATGGTAGAGAAATGTGCTTGGAAAATTCTTAAAATCTGATTTTAGACACTGCATGAAATTCAAAGGGAAGCAATTTTCTTTCAGAACTGTAAGAAAAATGGAGTATCCAGGAGTGCCTTCCAGTATAATTTTTCAGTCAATTATACACCTGGTAGATGGTTTAGATGCAGTTTTTAAAACAAGTCCCAGAAATAAGCCATTTTTAAGTGTAATTTTCTGGTCCCATCACCAAGAAAAGCAAGTTTAAAAGAATTTTTTTTAACTTAAAAATAAAAGATGTTTCATAAATCTTAACAATTATATATAAATACAACCTGAATAAATCAGGTATCACTGAGGCACTCCAACTGCCATATTAAAAGAAAAAAAAAGTAAATATTTCAAAATCAGTAAATGTAAGTCAAGGTCATCACCTCTCAAAGTAAATGGAATTTGGAACTGTCTCTAAAAATAATGAAAAAGTAGTTTATAAAGTACCAGTTAAAAACATGACAAAGTGTATTTGCACGAGGACACTTTATGAAATAATTCACTCTGAGCCCCCCTAGGCCATATCGCCTTCTGACCCCCTGACCGGCGTGATGACTATCCATTTACAGTGCTCTCAGGAACAACCCTTTTATTGTCCGCCTCCCGTCCTCATACTCATTGTTTGTTTCCAGTGGAGTGCCTTAATCATGGGCACAGCAAATGCACACATTCCAAGAGGCCAAGGCAGTTAATGTTTCTTACATGTTTAGGGAGTATTTTCAAACTGCTGTTTGTATGTCTACCCAACAGTCTATTCACTGAAGTAACCAATGACCTATTTCTTATTCAACAGCTATTAAATGGGATAGAAGAGTCATAATGTTGATATAACCATGTTTTTTTCTCTTACATAAAGAAAATGCTCTTAAAAATGTTGTACAAAAGTCCTTTCTCCTATTACCTTGCTGGCATTAGGTCTGCAATGGAATTCAATAAATACATATTGAACATTGGTTATATCTAATGTATTCTACTAGCCAAGTGGGGAAAATATGAGAGTCATAGAGGATATAAAAAGTTAGCTACGAAACTATAAAATATCAGCCCAAACTTAACAAGAGCTGTGATAGACGTGAGATAAAAGGTAGGGGGAGGGGCAGATAATAACTGACTAGGTTTTGGAAAAGCCTCCTCTGGAGGAAATGTAATCTGAGCAATGCCTTAGCGGCGAGAGGCAGACACTGGGAGGGAGACAAAGCCTTTGAGAACAGAAGTGGGGCGGGGGGCACCCGAGTGCTCCAGTGAAGCTGTAATGTGAAGTGCTCATAACAGCAGACGAGAAATAAAGACGGGCTGGGCAGATCATAACAGGCGGAAACTGCTGGGTGCTTACCAATCTGTTTTCCCTTCTTCTTGAAAATAAAATTCTGTGGAATACAATAAACAAAACAAGCTGACGAACAAAACAGATCCAGAGACAGGGAAGTAGGAAACAGACAAACCTCAGAGGGAAGGGCGTGGGTGGGAAGAGATAAACCAAATAATTTATATATATATATATATATTCATAACCAGTGGGCACAGACGACAGTGCTATGAGGGGTGGGGAGGAGGGTGTCGATGGGGAAAATAGGAGGGACATCTTTAATACTTTCAACCATAAAGATAAATTTAAAAAAATAATAAAATAAAAAATGGCATTTTGAGGGTGGGTATAGGGATGAGTCCTCCCAGATACATGTAGCCAAACTACTAAATTCTGGCCCATTGTATGTGAACAGAAGTTTCTGGGTGGGACATTTGCAATGCAACTTAAAAAGTCCTGACTAGTCTGCTTCCACTGTCTTCTTGCCTGGAACATAGAAATCACGGTAAGCTACAGAGGTCTCTTTGTGACAAAGTAGTCCTGAGAATAAAAAAGGGGGCAGAGCAAGAAGTCATCACATTATCCCTAAACTGCCACCCTAGCAATCTGGGGCACTGTGCTTCGCATCACTGTGTTTGAACTTGCAGCCAAAGACAATCCCTAACTCACTATCCTTGAGCACAAGGCTGTGGAATCTGGAGGTAATATGTGTTCATTATCAAGCAAGTCTCTGGACACACACTTGGCATGAAAATATGAGCAGATCCTAGTAAAAAAAATATAATTTGTCAAATTTTTTTATACCTATAATGCTATAAAATTATAGCAGTATTTTTAAAAAAAATTTTTAACTTCACTTCTGTATCTAAAGACTTAGATTAGAAAAAACACATCCACACTGACATTAGAGAACAATTCCCAACTCTGTGAACTGGCCCACAGTCGATAACCTTCTCCACTGTAACGTGAGCTCTCAGAACCTAGCCAGCACACGCCCACCTTCACAGCCTGCTGTGGAGAACAGGCCAGGGAAAAAAAGAAGTGGTCCTTTTTAGTGTTCTTCTAAAAATATCAAAGATAGACAATACATTTGATTTGGAGGGAATATGTACCTGTTGTTGCTACAACTTAATCAGAAAAATGCAGCATTGCTTCTCTGACCTACACATTGATCAGGGACAGGAGTTCTGGGACAGGAGTTCTGGGTCATATTCGATGCTCCACTGTCCTCTGGCATTCACATATGGTTTAGCAGCTCAGTAAATACAAGTCAGGTGAAGACCACAGATAGTCAATGAATGACAGATTTTTTTTTTTTTACCCCAAAACTGAATGCCAGAATTAAGCTGAAATGGACAAAGCACACTCAAAATCTACTCTCTAACATTCCTGCAATACAAGCTCCAAAGTGCCCTTTGGAGCCTCAGTCATTACTTTAACTAGCAAAAAAAAACAAAACAAAACAAAACAAGACTCAACTGGCAAAGCAAACATAGCTCTTTAATGTCACATGTCCAAGCCTCTTCTGTTTGCGATCTAATAAAATTTTACTCTTAAGAATTCATCCTAACGGATATAACTGGGGTTCTGAGAGTTGGACAATGTTCTCTGATGCTGTTGTAAGTGGTGAGTTATCAAATAGCTTAGGGGAAA